ATATAGATAATATGACTAAGCTTGTAAACTTTGCACTCAGTCCTTCCGTCATAAAGCCATTGAATTGATCCGTATAACTTTTTATCTGGTTTTCCACTAAGAGATGCTAACATTCATCTCAAGAAAAAAAACCTAAATCTAATGAATAACAAATGTTAGAAAAAAGGAAATTGCATTAATTCTCACCACCGAGAAGAATGTATCTTCATATCTACACCATCAATTTGGCTATAACATTTTGCCATTAAGTCTGCTTCGTAAATATTGATCGTGTATCCACCTTATGCTTAATTTTTAAGACTCGCTTGTTTACATTGATCTAGCACCCTAGTGCGAGATCATCAAGTCTCAAATTTTTTTTTTCTTTGTCGTAGAGCTTATTTCAATTTGCATGATGTCTATCCATTTTTTGTAAGCTTATTCTTCATAAAAATTCAAGTTATAAATAACTAAGAAAACATATATAAGCGATGCATCCTAAATGTCACATAGCTAATTTCATCATGCATGAAATAACAAGTTATTATTAGGGGTGTCAATTATGGTTAATTGGTCAAATTCAAATCTGACCCAAATTTGACCTAACCAAAAATTTTTTAGCACAAGCCTAACCCATTTATTATATGAGTTGGAATGTCTGACAATAACCCAAACCCAACTCATTTACTATACAGATAACAATGTCTGATTGAAACTAACACATGTGACCAACTTATTATATGGTTTATGAAATTATTTTATGTAAACACAAATATGAATCATTGAGGCGCAAGAGCAGTGTCGGCTAATCATAATAAGAACATAATTTAAACCCTAAAATTAAGCAAATTATTTTCAAGTTGATTTCAAGTTTCTCAACCCATAAATGGCTCAAATATTGAATGGGTCGACATTTTAGTTAGACTCAAACATGACCCATATAATATTCAAGTTAAACGAAACCATGAACCATATAATATTCAAGTTAAACGAAACCACAAGTTTTAGCCAAGCCTGTGTTGAGTAATTGTGTTGGTCGTCTATTGACAACACTAAGAATTATTATATAATTTCTTCATACATTAAGATTTTCTTCATCTCATCAAATGAAAGAATCACAATTTAAAAAATAAGACGAACCGGCCAGTTCAACCAGTTCGATAATGAGTCGGCCGGTGGTCCGGTTCTGGGCAGGCTAAAAACCATTTTTTGCATCAGATTGGCTAGAACCGTACTAAACCGGCGGTTCAATCGAAATACCGTCGAAACGGGAGTGGTTCAATTGAGCTGCTTTTATATTTATTTTATTTTTTTTTTATAAATTCATGAATATTTATATTATAGATTCTAGTTACCAATGAGTCGTATTAGATTTTGCTTTAGCATAAAATTTTATTATTGCTAATATTTTATTAAAAAAAAAAGATATGAGCCTATTATTACTTATAAGAATTAATCTAATAAAACAAAAATTAATTCTTATAAGAAGAAGAGATCATCGAGAATGTAAAGATTATAAGATCATTCTAAGTATGAATTTAAATACTCAAAATCGATTATTAGTTTTGGATTTTAAGACGAAGAGTTCTAAAATAAAGAATACTATTAATCATTGTCATAGAATCAAACGGGATAACCTAAAAGTCACAAATAAAATTATTTTTATGAGTAAACGTCAATATTATGGGATAAAGTAACAAATACTATTAAACAAGTGACAAAATATGTATTTGAAGAATCAACAACAAAAAGCCTTTATCCTACTTTGGTTGGGACACAATAGAGAAGAATTAAAAGAAATAATTTTTATAAATAAAAATAGTTGGTGGTGGAATAAAAATATCGAAGGAAAAAACATAAGAAGTTATATTATAAAAATTAGTTTAAATGTAAAAGCTTAAAAGTGAGAAAAATATAAAATGATCCGTAGGAATTCTAAGAGAATAATCTGTGACGCTAAAAATTCTACTTTTAGCGATTTTTATAATATATTAAATAATAAAGAGGATAAAAAATATATGTATAAACTAGTCAAGCAAAAGAGAAAAGAAAAGTAAATATTAACTCAAGTAAAGTATATTAAAAATAAAATCAAAAAGTAATTCTCTTAGAAAAATATATTCAACATAGATGGGTAAGTTATCTTGATAAACTTTTCAATGAAGTTCTTGAAAATAAGATCGATCTTAGTAATTTTATTATCGTTAATAAAAATAAAATGTTTCATTTTTACCGCCGCATCAGTAAAAAGGAAGTTAATGAAGCTTTAAAGAAAATTAATAGTAGAGAATCTGTAGAACCTCATGATATCTCAATTGAACTATAAAAATATTTAGAAGATTTTGGGAGTTTGTTTGCCGACTAAACTCTTTAATATTATTTTAAAAACTAAAAAAATGTCTGAGGAGTAGATGAAGAATATTTTGATCCCCAATTTTAAGAATAAAGGGGACACACAAGAGTGTGCAAATTATAGAGGAATTAAGTTGATATATTATACTTTAAAATTATAGGACATGATAATTAAACATAGGTTAAAATGTATTACAAATATTTCTCATAATCAGTTTGGATTTATGACGAGCAGGTCTACTATGGAAGCTATACATTTATTAAGAGGTTTGGTGGAGAAGTACGGAGAGAATAAGAAGAATCTTCTTGTGATTTTTATTGATTTAGAAAAAACTTATGATAAGATTCCAAGAGATATTCTTTGGAGAGTTCTAAAGAAGAAAGGCGTTGATATAACTGATATTCAAGTCATTAAAGATATTTATACTAAAGTTGTTACTTTTGTTCGAACAGAATGAGGATTAACCAAATATTTTTTCTATTTTAGTTGGATTATATCAGGAATTGACTTTAAGCCCATATCTTTTTGCTTTAGTTATGAATGCTCTTACTGGACATTTAAAGGAGGATGAACCTCGGTGTACGTTTTTCGCTGATGATATCATTCTTGTGGATAAGAGAAGAGAAAGTGCTTAGGAAAAACTTGAATTATGGAGGTCTCCATTGAAGTCTAAAGGCCTTCATTTGAGTAGAACTAAAACTGAATATATTGAATGAAAATTTAGTATTAGTTGCTCTAGTGACAGAGTTGTGACTATGGGTGATCAAATTATTAAAGGTGTGAACACTTTAGATATATCGAATCTATTGTTCAAAGTGATGGTGATATAGATGGGAATGTTATTAGTAGAATTCAGGTTGGTTGGTTGAAGTGGAGGAAAGCTTCGGGTCAATTGTGTGATAGAAAAGTACCTCTTAGACTGAAAGGAGAACTTTATAAGATGGTGATGTGACCTACAATGCTCAATGATGCAGAATGTTGGCCTATAAAAAAGAAGCATAAAATTAAGTTAAGTATTGTTGAGATGAGAATGCTTAGGTGGATGAGTGGCTTTACACTTAGAGACAAAATGCAAAATGAATACATCTGTGATAGGGTTGGTATAGCTCCTGTGGTGGATAAAATTAGAGGGAGTAGTCTTAGATAGTTTAGTCATATTAAACTTAGACCATCTGATGGTCTGGTTATGAGAGTAGATTTTTAGATTCGGCTTATGTTAAGAATAGTAAAGGTAGACCTAAAAAGACTTTGGCATATTATATAAAAAATGATTTTAATGTATTAAAATTAAATGAAAGATACAACACTCAATAAGACACAATGGAGGAAAAGGTTTCATGTAGCCGACCCCACTTAGTGGGATAAAGGTTTGTTGTTGCTGTAAATCATTAATAATTTAAATGAAACATAAATGAATTTAATTAACTAATAATTACTCAATTTAATAATAAATCTACCTAATTAACTTAATAAGTAATCAATTAAATCTATATTAATTCAAATAAAATATTAATCATTTAATAGGTTAATAATAATAAAATTAGAACTTTAAATTATTTAAACATATCATTAAATATATAAATAATTAAATAAAACAATAAACAACTTAATTAAAATACTAATTTAAGAATTAAATAAATATTTCATAAAATTAATTAAAATTTTGATTAATCCATAAAATTTTAATAAAGTTATAAAAATTTTAAATCAACAAAACTTCAATTTAACAAAACCTAACCTTAATTAATTAATTAATTAATTTCAATAATTCACCAAAAAATTAATTAGCATGTTTAAGAAATTTAATTAATTAACATGTTAGTAGTTAAGTTATTAAATTAATTAGCATGTTAGTAGTTATTAATTAAATAGTTTTAATTAATTAACATGTTAATAGTTATTACAATTTAATTAATTTTTTAAAAAGTAAAATTTTTTCTTTAAGAAAAATAGAAAATACTCAACCAAACATATATTATATTTTGTTATTTTTAAAAATATATAAATTATAAGAGTACCAAATACATTTTCTAAAAACAGAAAACAAAAAATAAATAAATAAATAAATAAAACTGACTCAAAACCAAAACAAAAATAAAAGGCAGAATGTGATCTCACACATAACCTAAGAATCTCCGCTTAATTCCCTAATACTCGGAAAGTAATCATCAAGGAATTGGACAGCTCTTGATTCAAACACTTTCATGCCGCTCTAAAGTATAATTCGTCAATTATATGCCCTTATGAGATTTATGAGTCCTTTAAAAAAATGTTTGATTGTAGTTTGGTCTAATTTTTCATGTTTATGAAAGGTGTTGTGAAATATCAAATATATTTATAAGGCCTTGAGCTATAAAATATAGATTCATGATGTTGAGGGAATCTATTTTGAAAGAACACAATAATCAATTTGAATCTTTCTTTATTGGAAACATAAAAAAATTCAAGTCGAATCATTTGGTCACACATTAAGTGTTCCCTTGAGGTTAACCTGCATCAACAACCCTCAGAACTATTACAGTTTTCAAAAAATAATTTAGTCACTTCTGAACCACGAGTTTACCTGCTGACCCGCGAGTTTACCAGACTAAACGCTAATTGCTAAAGCAGCAAACAAGATCAAAGAGGTAAAACCGTTGAAAACTCATAAAGACTTGTAAAAGCTCACCTTCATTAAGTGCAGCCTTAAATCCGTAGGCCGAACACCCTCCCCGATACATACCATAACAAACTGTGAATACTGATATAAAACATCAGCAGCTGCTTGCTTTCTCTGCTCAGCCTGGAGAAAGATGAAATTTTGTGCATTCAGTCATTTATGACATATATTTACAACATGAAACAACAAAAGAACAGCACACCGATCAAATTAAATTATAAAATTAAGGAGTGATATTCTAGAGAAAATCAGAAGATTTGGAGAACATTAGCTAGGTTCAAAGACCTTGCAAGATTGACTCGTGGGGAAAAAATTAGATTATTAATATATTATCTCTAGCATTAAATGAAACTTAATTAACCTTTGCTTAACCATTAAGCTGGCTGGCTTGATTTATAAAAAAACTAACTTAGAATTTCTGCTGCTTAATGATGGCGTTGCTATTAAAGTTCTTCCAATCCTTCTGGTTGGAGTTAATATATTTAGTATACAGTAAACATGGAACAACTCAAGGAACCAAACAGCAGAAAATGAGCGCCTCAAACATCTTCCTAAACCACCAAAAAAGAAAAGTCTCTTAGACATTCAATCAGTTTAATCTCATTAAGTCAGCTGAAAAGTCTGTACAAAATGATGCTTACAAATAGAATCAACTTTAAAAAGAAACGACAAATTGAGTAATCGGTTATTTTATAATATATTAGAAGCACAATGTATTACAAATTCAATGGTCACATGGATTTGTTCATTTGCTAGAAAAACTAGAGCGGTTTAGCCGACTCTATTATTAAATTAAAAAAAGAAATAAATGTCTATGATCCCTTCAAAAAAGAAAAGAAACCCAAATTTATATATTTTAAGAGTTATTTACTTACATGGAACACAATTCTTACGTATTTACATATCTCATACCTAAACTTTCATATTTACACACATAGCTAGGAATGTAAATGAACCAATAACTTGATGAAAACTCTAACTCAACTCCATTAATACTCCATCATATTTCTTCAAGTTAGTAAATAAAAAGTTTGAACATTTTTTAAAAAATTGGAGCTTAAATGAATAAAGTTTTAATACAGTTCAACTTGCTTGTTAATATTTATGAACAGACTCGTTTGTTGTTAAATAAGTATCTCATTAAATGTTTTATGCTTATATGATATATTACTTAAATAAAACTTGATTAATTGGAACTTATTTAATAATATATTTAATAGTAATATATTATAATTTCATAATAATATACACATAAGTAAAATGCAATTTATTATTATTTTTATTTCAATAAACTAATATGTTAGTACATATTTACGTTATTTGATTGCAAAAAAAACTTACAACTTATATATTATTTTATTTATTTGGTATTAACAAGTAAGATGCTACTTTAAAATCTATTTAATTATTAATTTATTTAGATTCTTAAGCTCATTTTTTAATAACTTTATATAAAAAATCAAATAATTATTTGTATTTTTAACTTGTTTATTAGTTTTATATAAAAAATAATCTACAAAGAAAATATTTAATTTTATATGAAAAATGACGTGCTCATTTGAAATCTAGCTTTTTAATTAATTTAAATAAACCAAGCACAAATCTAGTATGAACATTAAAAATTTTAAGCAAGTCAAATATAAACATATTTTTGAAGTTCATCTCAAGCTCAAACTGAACAAGAACAACTTATGATTTTATGATTCAACCAAGCCAAGTCCAAATCATGACATACTGAACTCGAATTGGCTAGATTTCAGGTTTACGCATAGCACTCAAATCTTTAATGCCACATCAAAAGTTTAGGTCTGAGATATGCAAATACAAAATAATTTTGTGCTAGGTATGTAAATTTCCCATAAATCTATCAAAACACGAGCATCAGGAATAATCATACGCTACAAAAAAAAAATTTAAAGGATGAAATGACATATCAAACAGTTCTTAGTTCAGGGTTAGTCACAGACATGAAAAAGGGCAATGGCACACAAGATTGAATATCTCTTAAGCCTTCAACATTCGGCGAAGCATCCAATCCAAGCAAGTAACACAACAAGTTTTAACCAAATAATGTTAATTCATGCATGAGACGGACATGGGGAAGATAGCTGTTAGGGCAGCGATTTCCATAGACAAAGAATAAGTTCATATAGATGAAATTCCACAACAGTGCAGCTCGGTACAGATCCTAACCCTAGAAATAATTCTGATCAAGGATTTAAGATACGAATCCTTGGAATCTATTAAAAGGAGAAAAAATTTAAAGAAAAAAACGAAAAACGAGATGCGAGATCATATTTCAGAAAGTAAACTTTGATGATGGAAAACTACCTCGTACTCATCCTCCAGAATCAGCCTTGAGGTTCTTGCCATCTCGCCCCCGTGTCCTCCACCAAATAGCTTTTCTTTGTTCGATGTATCGAAGACTACTGAGAAGGAGGATTAGTGAACAAGAATTGAAAACGATTGGGAGATTTGCATACCGGTCAATTCTTACACAACTACCCATCTAACTCCTAAAATTCCATTTTTTTCATATTAAAATGATATCAATGTAAAAAATAAAACTTAGGTGTTAGATATATAAATGCATAAGATTTGAGTGGTATGCATGTACATGCTTCTTTTAAATAAGGTGGTGGCAAGAGAAGGGACGGTAGCATTGGGGCCGAAAGTTATAGTTGATCTTCAGTCTAGAACAATAGTGGAATTCGACCCACCCCTCATCAAGCGAAGGTAGTGAGTCTATTTGTAGACTCTAGGAGAGACAGATGTTGGTAAATCAACAAATAACTCTCATAACTATCTGACAAACAATCAATGTTGATATTATTTATCATATATTTTTTTTTAGGATTTTAAGACCTAAATCTACTCAGAAATAAATTATATTGGGCTCCTTGGATTCCTTTATTCAAGAAGTTTGATTTGAAATATAAGTATGTCAAATTAAGACTTCATTTGAATCTTCAATTAACTACCCAAAATCTCTAAATGTAATTCAATAGATTGATTTGGGTTTGATTAGGCTCGGATTGGACTAATTATGATATTATTTTATTCTTCGTATCAAGACGGTCGGTTTTACCATAAGTTTATTGATATCGTGATCATAGATGATTTTTAATTTGAGTTAGAATATTATTTATTTAAAAAAAATGACTTAATATTTGTGTCAATTGTTGAAATTTTGTGATAAGAATTTACATATTTTCTTCTATTTATATTGACCATTGGCTAGATAGAAAATTATATTTTAGCTACTTATGTATAATTTAATCTAAATAAATAAATATGAGAATTTGCTAACACTTCCTAAACACATAAATATTCAATACTAATTATCTTTAATAATCTTAAAAAAAGAGAGGGAGGATATGTTTAAAATGTATGCATTTTAAATATAAATGTATGCATTTTAAACATAAGGTTTTAGTGAAGCATTATTTAAAAGTCTTTATTTTCATGCAAGCAATTAATGTGTACAAAATACTTTTATTTGAATTTAAATCTTACTTAGATGAGGAAAACCAGATTGATTGGACAGAATTCATTCTCCCTAAGCAGCCATAAATAGGGGTGTAAATGAGCCGAACACGAGCAGTTCGTGTTCGGCTCGTTTATATTTCGAGCTCATAAAGTGTGTTCGTGTTCGGCTCGTTTGACAACCCTCGAACACGAGTTGTTCATGAACAAAGAGACCTTTGAAAAACCTTAATCATTGTCGCCATAAGACAATAAAGGTTTGAGCAATATTTAAAAATTATTATTTATATTAAAATATCATTTGAATCTAATTTAATAATTTTTATTCTATTTTCTTAATCAATATTTTGATTGATTATAAATCTTTGTAGCATTGTAGTTAATTAAATTTTTTTAAAATACTACTTTATGAGTAGTATTTCGAGCCAAAATGAGTGGAACACGAACGAACACATCTTAGTTCGTGTTCGGCTCGTTAACTTATCGAACGAAATTAACGAGCGAAACACGAACTTCTTAACGGCAAACAACGAGCCGTTCTGACAACCCTAGCCATAAATAAGGGCATGCCTCAGCAGGTATACTTACCGGCGGGGAGGTCAGCCAACTCATGGCCAACGGCTCTTCGATTTTCCCTCAAAGAGTCCCAAGAGCCATTACATTTCCCGAAAGTCTCTCCCTCTTCCTTCTCCCTTCCGGTACTTTCTTACGTCGGTATCCCTAGATTCCATGAACTTCCGACGACGTGCCGCCGCCGCGGCCACCGTCACCTCCGGCGCCGGAATGAGGGAGGATTGCTGGAGCGAGGGCGCCACGGAGGCATTAGTGGAAGCGTGGGGCGACCGCTTCCTTCATCTAAACCGCGGCAATCTGCGGCAGAAGGACTGGAAAGATGTGGCTGACTCCGTGAACGCCCGGCAAGACGCCGTGGGAAATCCACGGAAGACCAGTGGGCAGTGTAAGAATCGAATCGATACCCTTAAGAAGAAGTACAAGCTCGAGAAGTCGAAGCCGGGGCGTTCCACCTGGCCCTTCTTTTCCCGTATCGACCTCCTGGTCGGTCATTCCCCTGAGAAGGCCTCCCTCGGCATTAAAGTCAAGCAACGTAACCCTAATTCTAGCTCTGCGACGCCTCCGCACAATCTATTGTTGTCATCGTGGGGCTCGTCAAGGGTGCGGACGAATTTGCCTGATGCTGCACAGAGTTCTCGCGAAGGTGGTGGAGTTGGTTACGGCGATTTTGATGGCAGGGAGGATATGGACAGGACAGAAGAGGTGGGGAAGATTCCATTGTTTGGATATTTGGACATTCAGGAAAGTCGGAAGCCGGGTTGTGGATTGGGTGTTTTCTCATCTGGGGATGATGGAGGTGGCGGGGAGGATCGTGGTGACTTTAGAGAGTTTGTAAGGGCCGTTGAGAAGATTGGTGATATTTACGAGAGAGTGGAGAGATCAAAGCTGCAGCAAGCAATTGAGCTGGAGAGGCAGCGGATGGAATTTGAGAAGGAGATTGAGATACAGAGGATGAAGGTGTTCATGGAGACGCAGCTTGAGCTCCAGAGAATGAAATGGCGCAAGTGTAATTCTGATTCTGGTAAGTTTGTCATGATTTATGAAATAGTTTTCTTAGTCTCCATTATTCTCTTACTGCATATCAGAATAAAAATACTTGATCATTTTTAAGCACTTATCTGATGCAAATATGAAAATCTCTACTCATCAATAATGCTCAATCATTTTTAAGCACTTATCTGATGATTCATTTTTTAACTATCTGTTTCTTGATTTATTTTAATGTAAAAAGTACATATGATGATTACCCTTTTTAATTCAGGATGTTTTCTTAGTTTTTTTTTGTTTGATTTTAAGTTATTTTGATTGAGCTCTTTTATTCCTTATTCAACAGCAACTCCAATGCTATTTCAGTGTATGATAGATTTCTCTACTTTTTTTAGCAGCCCTTGTTTGGAACTATATGATAGAGTAGTTTTGATTGCTTGTAGTTGCCAGTGATTTGGCTCTTTTTACTATTACTGGAATCTCATCTTTTTCTACTGGATTGTAATGGATTTCCACTGATTTCTTTCTTAAATGTTAATGTCGTTCTGCCTTTTCGGTGATTTATTTTAGTAGAAAATAAATTTGTGATTTTTACGTTATCTAGAGCACTATTTTCCTGTTTCTTTATTCTATTTGTTTTAGTGTTATATCCATTTATTCCTCTATTTGCTTTCTGTATATTCTATATTATTGCAATGCAGCAAGGACTGAGAACTATTTGAAAATTATTGGAAATAGGATTTTGAAGTGGAAGATTACTATTATGATGAAATTAAGGTTGGGAAATGATTGTTCTTGTTAGAATCAAAGCACATTGAGTTGAAACTTGAAATCTTTGATCACATCTTGGAGAATTATGTGAAGTTACTAATTTTAGGCAATTTTATAATAATTATTGAATGCTATTTATAATTTCATTTTGACTTGGTTATATTATTGGATATGCATTATTCAAATGCTTTGCAAGTTTTGTTGATGGTTTTAGGGGGATGTTTCTCTTTATATCTATTGGAGGTCTGAATATTCAAATGAGTGACTTATAACTTTCGTTCTTCTATTTACATTATTGTGATTGGTTTGTCTCATTGACATTTTATAAGTTTGTTGCATTAATAAGTTTTGTTTTTTACGTGAGTTTTAATAGCCATGGAAATTTTATATTTGTTCTCAAATTTCTTATGGAACTTCAGATTTTGATGAATTTTATATTGTAGTTTGGAATGAATGAAGTGTGTTTTAATGTTTTGCATTAAAAGTGACTAGTCTTTATCTAAATTAGAAGTTGAGAAATCACAATTTGAATTTTTTGTGTTTCTTTATACTTATCATTCTAAGTTCACTTCAATGAACTCTTAAGACATCCTTTATCACCATCCTTAAATCTAGAAGTTATATCCTTATTATTTTATAAATGGGCTATTTTTATTATGTATTTGAAAAGCAATGTGAAATACATTACATGTAGAGTGATTTTTTTTCTTTTCGGCAATGAGAACACTCAAACCCATCACCATGGGATTCTTCACTTTATTTTCAACCAATGCGATCAGAGCATAACATATAAGGTGAATATATTAAATTTATTTTACATTTGTCTATGAAAATACATTATAGGTAATGCAACTTCATTTCAGTGACTTTACTTTAAACCAAACATAGAAAAGTAAGTTTGCATGTAAATACACTACCTTCCGTTAGCTTTTTGCTCAAACAAATGAACCAATTATAGATCAAAGATACCTGAGCTCCTCACATTCAAGTGTCACTTAGTCTGATAGGAATATTGATTTCTAATTATTAATTTTACATATGGTAAAATCATATCATATATCTATGTTTTATTCTACTAATACAAAATCCCATATCCTTCCAATATCTTTATTATTGTTCAAACTTCACTTATTTTAGTAGAGCTAGGTCTTGCCGATTTTATTTGTAATATGCAAATATCATACACTAAGGTATCTTACCCTGAATGTTTTTTTGAGCATCCACAAATTTATTAAAAAATGCTATGATTTTATTTTGTTGAACCTTGATGTATTCGTATTTTTTATGCTAGGCAATGCTCCATATTGCATAAGTTTAATAACCTCAATCTAAATAGAACATATGATTTTTTTTGTGTAAACCACTTGGACATGATGGCCTACTCAGTTTCCCTCCCAAAGTTAACATTCTTGATGACTCAGCTCTTTCTCGGCAATTGGTCCCACGACTCAGGTGCTTATCACCCTCTTCCATGAAGTCAGCAATTTCCCACTAGTAAAGGTAGGCAACTTGGACAATTATGACGATCTCTCCTTTAGAGTTAAATGTTCTTGGATTGCCATACACTTCGCCTAGACTCACACTCGGTCCCAAGCATTGTTCGCATGATAAAGTAGTACCCTTTTGGCGAGTTCAAATATACTCATGTATTCAATGCATCCAAATCCCAGTGGCCATGTTGGTGAATCCAAGTGTTATTGTCCTTGGGTATGTTGAGACCATTTGATCATATTAGCGAGTCCAAGTGTCCTTGTTAGTGCACCCAACTTATTTGTCTATATTGATGTGTCCAATTCTCTCCCTTTTGGTGAGTCCAAATCCATCTTCTTATTTTGAAGTCCAATCTATTTGCAATACATCACTCCAAGGCCTTCTCGCTTCACTCAACTAAAGTTTCAAACACTGTCTCGACAAACTTAAATTTCTCAAGCCATACAATTAATGATTCAGATCAACGACTCATTCCTTTGTCTGTCTCGTTGTGTGACACATTTAATTCCACGGTATTGAACTATCACTTGGCATGCTGCCACATGAGACAATAGTCATGACATCACATGATGCCTTGCACATTGTGTCGATGCATGATCAAGGAGTAATTCCTGTTTGCTCTCTCTATAAATTGTGACACTCTATTCCTTGCAAGGTTTGGTCGGATGGAGAGTGAGTAAATGACACATGTTGAGTAAATAAACCCTTTTTTTTCTTTGTTCCTTCTAACTATGACGAAGATCTTACCTATGGGATAGTTGCATCCTTAAAAAATTGTTTAAGTTAGGAATTGATTTTGTTTTTGCTTAAAAAATTGTTCCTTCTAAAAGATCTTGCCTCAAGTTCCACAAATTGTTTTTTTGACTATATGGGATAGTTGCATGCTTAAAAAATCTTTAGTTAGGAACTGATTTTGTTTTATTTATCAGCTCAATATTTTGTCAAACTTTATACCAAAAGCCAGTAATAGAACTTAAGTTGCATACTTTGGTTGAAATTCATATTGAAATTGTTGAACTTGTCAACAAATTACTTATATATTATGGGCCTTACAAACGATGTGATTTATAAACTCATCCACCTTATCGGCTAGGTTAATCAGTTGGAGTTTACACAACCAAGTCATGGATATATTTATTTCGCATTTTGTCTCTAAGTGTAAAGCCACTCATCCACCTAATCATTCTCATCTCGGCAACACGTAACTTAGTATTATACTTCTCTTTTAAAGGCCAACATTCAGCATCGTAGAGCATTGCAGGTCTCACCACTATCTTTTAAAATTTTCCTTTCAGTATAAGCGGTATTTCTCTATCACACAAAAGGCCCAAAGCATTCTTCCACTTCAACCAACCAACTTGAATTATACTATTAACATCCTCATCTATATTACCATCGCTTTGAACAATAGACCCGAGATATCTAAATCATTCACATCTTTTAATAATTTTATCACCCAAACTTACACTTATGTCAATAGAGCTACTACTACTAAATTACATTCCATGTATTCAATTTTAGTTTTACTTAAATTAAGGCCTTTAAATTTCAATGCAGACCTCTATAATTCAAGTTTTTCCTTGGTTTTTTCTCTCGTCTTATCCACGAGAAGGATATCATCAGCAAAAAGCATACACCATGGTACATCCTCCTATAAATGTATAGTAAAACCATCCATAACTAAAGCAAAAAGATATGAGCTTAAAATTGATCCCTGATGTAATCCAACAAAAGTAGGAAAATATTTGGTCAATCCTCCTCCAGTTCGAACACAAGTAACAACTCTAGTATACATATTTTTAATGACTTGAATGTAAGTCATATTAACACATTTCTTCTCAAGAACTCTCCAAAGGATATCTCTTGGAACCTTATCGTAAGCTTTTTCTAAATCAATAAAAATAAAATGTAGATTCTCCTTATTATCTCTGAACTTCTCCATCAAACCTCTCAATAGATGTATAGCTTCCATGTTAGACCTTGGCATAAATTCGATTTGATTATGAGAAATCTTTGTAATACATCTTAACCTATGTTCAGTTACCCTCTCCCACCCTCTCCCATAACTCCCATAATTTTAAAGTATGACACATCAACTTAATCCCTCTATAATTTGCACACTTTTGTGTTTTCCCTTTATTCTTAAAAAATGCAGACCAAGATACTCTTCCTCCACTTCTAGGGCTTCTTTTTAGTTTTTAAAATATCATTAAAGAGTTTAGTAAGCCAAGAAACTTCCAAATCTCCTAAGTTTTTCTATATTTCAATTGGGATATCATCAGGTCCTACAGACTTTCTACCCTTACTTTTCTTTAAAGCCTCAACTTCTTTTTTAATGCGACGGTAAAAATGAATCATTTTATTAGTATTAACGATATTAAGATCAATAGGGTCGATCGTATTTTCAGAAACTTCATTAAAAATTTTATCAAAATAACTCACGCACATATGTTGAATATCTTTTTTCTAAGCAAATCACATGTTGATTTTCATCTTTAATACACTTTACTTGAGTTAAATCTTTACTTTTCCTTTCTCTTTGTTTGGCTAGTTTATATATATATATATTATAAAGATCATTAAAAATATAATTTTTAGCATCACAGATTGTTTATTTAGACTCTCTGCGGGCCATTTGATATTTTTTCCAGTTCTTTAAGTTTTTACATTTAAACTAATTTTTATAACATAACTTCTCATATTTTATCTTTTCTTGCAAATTATTATTTCACCACCAACTATCACCACCAACTATTTTTATACAAACTTTTT